GACTTATTCTACTGTAATGCTGTATACTAAGCACTGTGTCCTTTTATGATAGACTGTATTTGAACTTGAAGTAAACAGTGATACATTTGCAATTTGAAATAATAAGAAGAACCCAGAAATACTTTGGTTGCATTTATTTATTTAAATAACCATAGTTACAGTTTCAGATGTAAACAGAAACAGAGATAATTTAAAACGAATGTATAAATTTGACATCCAAGAGAAAAGTAATGTCTGTTTCGGTACTCTTATAATTGAAAATATGTCTGACAAAAATTTGTAATTTAAATATGCCCACTGATGTATAATTTTAAACACATCCGACTAAATGTCAACAGGTTGGCTTTTTGTACTTTCGGTTTCTACAACCATAATAATAAATATATAAATAATGTATTGTTTGCTTTTGTGCGTATGAATTCACTTATTTTAGGTGGACTTTTACTACATTTATTGGAAAGAAACTTGTCATTAATTACATATTCAGTTTCTTAGCGTATGTTAGACAGAAATTCCGCATCCTTCCGTGTATTCATACTATTGTGTTCGAGGTCCTTATCCGAACACTGACGGAAAGGGTCGAAAAAGTTTTAACCTCTTTGTCTACCAAACGGCGAATTACGTCAGCAGACGACATTGAATTACGCACCAGTTGTAGTTGTCGTCAAGTTTTGTGTGGGACTGAAACTTTCACCGAGCGAAACTCTTAAAAAGATAAAAAATTCGGAAACATTGCCTACTGGTGGAAAGACATGTGTGTATAAATGGCATGAGCGGTTTAGAGAAGGAAGAAAATCCGTGTATGATGACGAAAGAACTGGTTGGTCGACGTTTACAGTTACTGTTGGAAACACAGCCTTAGTGAAAGAACTAGTTGGCCGACGTTTACAGTTACTGTTGTAAACACAACCTTAGTGAAAGAACTGGTTGGCCGACGTTTACAGTTACTGCTGGAAACACAGCCTTAGTGAAAGAACTGGTTGACCGACGTTTACAGTTACTGCTTGAAACACAGTCTAGGTGAAAGAACTGGTTGGCCGACGTTTACATTAACTGTTGTAAACACAGCCTTAGTGAAAGAACTGGTTGGCCGACGTTTACAGTTACTGTTGGAAACACAGCCTTAGTGAAAGAACTGGTTGGCCGACGTTTACAGTTACTGTTGGAAACACAGCCTTAGTGAAAGAACTGGTTGGCCGACGTTTACAGTTACTGTTGGAAGCACAGCCTTAGTAAAAGAACTGGTTGGTCGACGTTTACAGTTACTGTTGGAAACACAGCCTTAGTGAAAGAACTGGTTGGCCGACGTTTACAGTTACTGTTGGAAACACAGCCTTAGTGAAAGAACTGGTTGGCCGACGAGTACAGTTACTATTGGAAACACAAGCCTTAGTGAAAGAACTGGTTGGCCGACGTTTACAGTTACTGTTGGAAACAAAGCCTTAGTGAAAGAACTGGTTGACCGACGTCTACAGTTACTGTTGGAAACACAGCCTTAGTGAAAGAACTGGTTTGCCGACGTCTACAGTTACTGTTGGAAACACAGCCTTAGTGAAAGAACTGGTTGGCCGACGTCTACAGGTACTGTTGGAAACACAGCCTTAGTGATAGAACTGGTTGGCCGACGTTTACAGTAACTGTTGGAAACACAGCCTTAGTGAAAGAACTAGTTGGCCGACGTTTACAGTTACTGTTGGAAACACAGCCTTAGTGAAAGAACTGGTTGGCCGACGTTTACAGTTACTGTTGAAAACACAGCCTTAGTGAATGCACTGGTTGGTCGACAATTACAGTTACTGTTGGAAACACAGCCTTAGTGAAAGAACTGGTTGGCTGACGTTTATAGTTACTGTTGGAAACACAGCCTTAGTGAAATAATTGCTGGACGTTGACAGGCGCGTTACGGTGCGGCATAGCTGAACAACCAAGTCTCTCTTATTATGCCCGGCAATGCATTCTTACAGAAAAGCTCAACCAATCGAAAGTTGCCGCTCGCTGGGTACCCTGCATTCTGACAGAAGTCGACAGACAGAAGCGCGTGCAGTGTTCTAGAGAATTTCTCAAGCGTAACGAGGCACATGACGAAGATTTTTAAGAAAGGATCGTGTTCACGGACGAGACATCGTTGTACTATTACATCACGAATCCAAACACCAGTCTTCAATTTGGAAGTTACCTGACACACCTCCACCGAAAAAGGCTAGGGTTAAGCGAAGTGCCAAGAAGGAAATGTATATATGCATGGGTTCCTGCTACAACACAAGATGCGAGAGGGATCAACCGTAAATTCAAAAGTAAAACTAAAATATAAAAAAACTGTTACTATTTTGAAATTAAAAATGTTTCTATAAATACATGTAGAGCTAGCCGGTTCTAGTATTTAATAAATACTGTTTATCTTATTTAAGAAAAATTCATTTTAAAATATTGACGTAATGCAGTCGTTGTGCGTTGTCAACTTCCACTTTTTACGTCGGGACTTGGTACAAGCCTTGCGCCGGGAGCGACATCAGCTAGACCTGGACGATGTTATTCTACACCATAATACACCGGGCTCACGACACAGAACTGGAGATTAGCCTGCTCGGGTTCAGTCTACTGCCACACCCACCATACAGCCCGAACTAGGTACCATTAGACTGTCTGTTCCCCGATTAGAAGAAGGAACTGAAAGGCCAACGATTTGAAACATCATTTCAGCTACGCACCAGGGCGTGCGAGATAGTTTCGTCGTTCAGTTCAGGCTGGTTTAAAGTGACTTGTGACCAATTGATACACGGGCATAAGAAATGTGTCTCCACCGGGGGTAATTACGTTGAAAAAGTGAACCGGACATTATTATTTGACGTTTAGGTGACATCAGCGTGTGACAACGTCGCATCGGCGTGCTTCAAGTGTAGGATAGTGAAGTGATTTTGTTTTGCTTGTAAACTTTATTGTTCAATATATCTCAATGATTATTTGGCTTTTTGTCAGTCGAGAGTAAAGGTCTCTCGAGGTGTAAAATATTTGTTAGTTTAAGAAATAATACAATTCCGCGAATTTATCAATCAGCCCTCATATATAAGGTACGTTAGTAGCAGCCTTTCTGGACTAAATTCGCTACTTCAGGTATTTGAAAAAACTGAATTAATACAAATTAGAGTAAATCATCAAAACATACACTCATATAGATCTATAATTATCATTGAGTTACACTTAAAAATAAAACAATTAAAAAAAACAGAAAAAAACAAAAACAGACAATCACACACCTTTGTATTTGGTTGAGGGTTATTTCAAAACATAATATATCCAATGTCATATAATTAAAGCTGCACGCCTCCAAATAAGCAAAACATTTCAAGAAAATCAATATTGAGAAAAATGGACTAAACTTTTAAGAAAGGTAAAACATTCAAGATCCAAATTATACGGTGTTCTGTTTTGATAATCGTGATTTTTTATTTAGTCTGTACCCGCGATGCACGATGGAATGATGGTGAAAACGCGATGGCACAATGTTACGATGGTGAAAACACAATAGTTCGATGATGACAACGCGATGGTACGATGGTGAAATCGCGATAGCACGATGGTGAAAACGCGATGTAACATCGCGTTTTCACTATCGTACCATCGCGTTTTCACCATCGTGTCATCACGTTTTCACTATCGTACCATCGCGTTTTCACCATCGTTCCATCGCGTTTCACCATCCTACCATCGCGTTTTCACCATCTTACCATCGCGTTTTCACCATTTTACCATCGCGTTTTATCCATCCTACCATCGCGTTTTCACCATCGTGCCATCGTCTTCCGATGGTCTTGCGCAATGTTATATTTTTATCAACAATGTTTGCCTTCTCATTATTTAAACCCGCACCCTTTCTATTTGCGTATCTCTGAGATTCATGAAAATTAACAAAAGGCAATCGCTCAATAATTTAAAACATTAAAGTTGTCATCCTTGTGCACTGTACATAAGATTGTTTCAAGTGTATATCTTATATACAGCAAAAGAAAAATACAAACATATATTAAGCATACATGTATATAAGCAAATATCAAATAGTGTTTGATCTATATACAGTATAATGAATATAATAGGAATAACAATAATTATTTATAACTCAAATTAATTAGTTAGTATTCTTAACTTGTTTTTACTATCTGCGGGTTTAGAACCTGACATCTTTCTGTATGTGTGCTGGTCATACTGACTATTTTATTACCATTTTATTACCATATTTCAACTGCGTTACTAACGCAGTAAGGGCTGTTTTTGCATATGTTGACCACTTTTAGTTATTTTCGTGGATTGTAAGAACCGATTGCAATATGTAAATTACTTTATTTGCCCCCACCGTAATTCTAAGGGTCAAGACTCATCCTAGAAATAAAATAAAAAGCGCTAACAAGGCCATATCGCTTTGACATAGTGACCTTTGAAGAAAATACGAAAATATCAATGTTTTATCAGAAACAAAATGACCAAAGATGTGATCGACACATAAAATCTTATTTTCCCTGCATATTAAATTTGTAAATCAGTTTTTTAGTGTTTTTTTTTCGCAAGCATTTAATTAACTAGTAAGTATGTCAAATATATGTTAGGTTTGACTTTTAGATTATCAACATTCCGACAAAGTAGATCACAGTGCTGAAACATTAACTTAAAAGTCCCAAAACCGTAACTTCCCCAATCTTCCTGCCCCCGCCCTTCCCAGGAATTTGAAAAAAAAGGCCATTCCCAAACTACGGTGCCGCAGATATACAGCTGTTATCTGCATAATACGGATACTTTATGTCATTTCATATGTTTTGTGTTTAGCTATAATTATGTATTGTTAAGTTAAACATAGCATCTGAATATAGTGTTGCATATCTACTTCTTATTCGCCGTATGCATTTTGTTGTTCCTAACCATGCAAAATTGCAGTTAGTAAACACCTCAACATTTCATATATTATATAGAAAGGTTGTCACTGATAAACAATTTTTCTACCCTCTTTTCAGAACTTCAAGGCGACCTGATTAAATTTTACAGAAAAAGGTGTAGTTCAATACCTCTCTCACCGCTTCTTGAAGAAATAGAGACACCTCTAGCTGGGTTCTATGTGATGCCAGATATAGTCGCGGTGAAACAGAAGTCCCTAACTTGCCATGAAGAGGAGAGAACACCGATCAAGTCTTTGAAAAACATGTTTTCAACAAGAAGTAGAGATCAGCAAGAGATTTATCTATCAGCTGATGCAGGTTTTGGAAAAACTGCTTTCTCAAAATATCTTGCAATTACGTGGTGTCAAGCTCATTGTCACGATGAAAACTACGCCTGTTTTAAAGATGACGATTTAAAAACGTTATTTGACTTTAAGTTCTTATTTTTGGTTTTATTAAGAGACTGTTCCTCTGTTTGTAACATTGACGATATGATTGAACAGCAAATAATTAAGAAACTTCCTGCTTCTGCAGCAATACATGAGGTTTTACGTCGGGAAAAATGCTTGATTATATTAGACGGTCTTGATGAATGGACTCACCCTAATAACAGCTGCAGCGAAGTAACAGAAAATATCCCACATCGGTACGTACGTGATAATTGTGTTATCCTTACGACAACTCGACCGTGGAAGCTTGGAGTTTCAAATCTCAAAACAAGTCAAATAAACAAAAAAATAGAATTGGCTCAATTAAGTGAAGAATCTACGCGGCAACTAGAAGAAAATGCTATAAGGAAAATGACAGGTGTCCTTAACGATACAGTACTGAAGCGTAAAACACAGGACTTCAATAAAGTGATAACTGACCGTCGCCTAGAACACATGCAAGTGATTCCACTCCTCCTCATGTATATAGTTTGCCTATGGTGTAACAACATTCCAATAGGAAATTCAATACATGAAATTTACACCAATATCATTGAATTTCTATTATCGAGAACGTCAAAGAAACACCCGGAAGTTCTATCATCTCGTGAATCGTCTGCCAGTGAAATTCCTGAATACTTCCAAAGTCGTAAATTTTGTAAAAAGTTTTACAAATTAATAAAATCACTAACAGAACTAGCGAACCAAACATTATTTAACGAAAACAGAGAAAACACGCTGGTATTTGATAGAACGGTTGCTGAAAAATATCTCCAAGCAGACGACATGATATTAAGTCTTCTCTCAGGAATACTGTCAGAAAGTAGAAGTAAAACATTAGTCAAAGAAATTATCAAAATATCGTTTTCCCACAAAACAGTGCATGAATACTTTGCCGCCATATTTATAAGTTCTCAAAGTGACGCTCAGAAATCTGTTGTAGAAAAATGTAGAAATGTTCAAGACATTCTGGACATGTCAAAAATTTGTGAATTTATAAGTAAATTGAATTCTGACCTGGTGTGTGCAATATCAAATGATTTAATGTCTGTGATAAATGAAGACGATAAAACACGCGACTATAGAACCCAGGCAGATTACAGTGACTCATTGTATAACATACAGAAAATGTTCATGTCGTGTTTACAAGAAATGCCTGAAAGTGAAAATATTCAATTATGTTTACAAGATTTCTTCATTGACAAGAACACCATGCACAGTGAGCAGTTACAACGATTGTTAAAACAAAATAAAACCAACATAAAATCACTTAATATAAGGACCAGTCGTACTTCCAGCAGTTTACGTAAAATTATAGATTTATTCTCTCTCACAGATCTCAGTCATTTACAGAAACTTTACTATGGGGGTGACATGGAGGAGGAGGCTGATATAAATCGGATACTGTTTCCCAGTTTACAGTCCGTAGCTTTGTGGTGTGGTACATGGACAAATGATGAAGAAAATCAGAGTGAAAACCTGGCGCGATGTCAAAACTTACAATATTTATATATTGGCGGCTTCACGTTTTCTCACAAAATATTGGAAACAATTTTCAATTTTATCTCCGTTCAAAAATCAATGAAAGAATTAACATTGTGGAGGTTAGCCTGTAAAGAACATGGCGGCCATGATTGTAAGAGGTGGGACTTAGACTTGTCTCAACATTCAACTCTATCAAAGTTAGGATTGTGTAAGTTACCTGGGAGTCTACAATTGAATATGTCAACACCGTCATTAGATAATGTTACGCTATCGGACATAAATCTAGATGAAAGTTCATTGTTACTGTCAAGTGACATGTTGAATATTGAACGTGTTGAGTTGAGGGAGATAGAAATGCCTGCAGGAAGTTTACAGAACTTTATTACCATGCTAGAAAATCTGTCGCAGTCAGTTACAGTAGAGATGATCGCCATAGAACCGGAAACTGAATATGAACGTGTTAGAGAAAATATTCGGAGATTACATACTTTTCATGTGATACGAGACGACTGGTGGTTTGAGTTCAAAACAATAAAACCAAGCAAAGAATAGACAAGAAAAAACATTGTGAAATAAACTGAAGAAATAACCTCAATAATTTAAAATAATTTAAACAATTTAAATATGGACACATAAAACAAAATTGCGACACTGCAATCTTAAATTAGGACATGCATGTACTTCGTTTTCAATTATGATTAATTAATTGACAATTGCTTATAAATAAAAACATTGAATTAATAGAAATAATTCAAGGAATGTTTTACGGAATTTAATGGATAAAAAAGTTGGATTAGGATACAGTATGGAAATATTTCACAGGTAAATAATTTTCTATTGAATGTTTTATCTTTATTATTTTATTATACAGGCATACGGTAAGAGTGAAAAAGATTATTAACAGTGAACAATACTCTTATATTAACTTTAACTTGAAAAATATATTTGATATAAATAAATCAACTTTTAATATTTTCAATGATTTTTATTCCCGAAATAGATGTTTTAAAATCGAAATAAAGTATTTTTTAAACAAAGGCTATATATACATAGGTGAACACAGGTTATTAATTATAACTCTCTATTATCTCCTTTACATTTTATTAATCTAAACGTTAAGATTGTTTTTCTTTTCTTATTTTCGGAAATATTGTTCTCGTAAGATTTTATCTTTTTGTAACATTAATTGCCAGACTCTTTAAATTATCTATTAAGTGCCTTCTTTAATAATATTATATGCTAACCTGTCAACCAAATTCTTTTAAATCATAAATTAAAGGTTTATTATTTGATATTTGACATGAAATATTTTGCAGTGAACCTCTACCAAGTTTATACCAGTATAGACTTGGGGTCTTAATTGACCAGGTATTGGGTGTGGGGGGGGGGGAAGATGACAATAGGTCTTAGCTTTTTCATATATGTATATAATAAAAAAAATCTGATTCTCTAAAATCGTAAAGATTAAAACTAAGATATTTAACATGAAATATTGTCTAGAACACTTCTAGTAATTGTTTGTTAAACTTATAGCCTAAGGATCTTTTCTAAATCAATCAAGACTAAAGTTTAGGTGTTTGCATGAATCATTGTCTAGTTTACCTCTACCAAGTATGTTTAAATTAAAGTCCTGGGGTCTATGTTTGCCCAACAGAGGGGGGGGGGAGTCTTAGATTTTCCGTAATGTATATGGTTGACATTTTAGATACTCTTCCCTAATACAATAACGGTTTAATCTTAGATATTAGTCAAGACACATACTCTAGTGGAAATCTACCAAGATTGTTCAATTATAGCTGCTGTATTAAAAACGGGGTCATGGATTTTTCATTCATTTATGCATGTTTGTATGCAATAAGTACTATGTACATACATATAACTTTAAAAATCACTTCAATATACAAAGGCCTAAAGCTTGTGTATTTTGCATGAAAGATTTTCTAGTGTACCTCAATCAAATTTATACAAATTAAAGCTTGGGGCAAAATTTCCTTCGGTTTGGGGGGGGGGGTGTAGATTTTCTTTATATGTATAAACATAAAAAACCAAAATAGATATCTAAGTCTCTTAAATCAGGCTTAAGCTTAGATATTTTATGAACATGAAATATTCTTTTGTGGACCACTATTAAGTTTACAGTCCTGGACTTAGTGGTCTCAATTGAACCAGCTCCCAGGGGTCTTTTCAAATACATACCCGTATGTATTTTTTAAACTAAAATAATCAACTTCTGTAAAACCATCGAGACTAAAGCTTATAAACTATTGCATGAACTATTGCCTTGTGAATTCTAGAATAAAATTATAGAATCAGGGTCTATATTGGCCCCACAAAAAGAGTCATGGATTTTCCTTAAATGTCTATTAACCTTTCCAAGCGACCATTGATATTTTAATAGTTAGCAACCCTTAACTTCTATAGCAACCGATGACATGGATAACAACCATTTACTTTCCATAGCAACCACTGACTTTCATAACTGCTTTTGACATTCCATAGCAACCATTGTTTTTATCAGAGCAACCATTGATGTCTAGAACAAATTTTGACTTTACTTAGCAACCAGTGATTTCCATAGCAATCTTGAATTACCAAAGCAACCATTGATCTCCATAGCATCCATTGACTTTGTATTGCAACCATTGGACCGATTTACTTTACATAGTCATTGTTATATTTCATAGCAATTATTTCGTTCTATAGCAACCATTGAATATCTTAAGGAAACAAGGACTTCCAAATGAACCATGACTATCCCAGGCAACCATTGCATTTGATTTACTTAGCAACTTGTGATTTTACAAACCTTGACTATCCCTAGGAACAAGTTGAATCAATAGCAACAAGTGATTCCCCTTAGAAGCCATTGACTACCATAGCAACCACTGACTTTCATTGAAACACTGACTTCCATAGCAACCATTTATTTTCCTCAGCAACCTCTAAATTTCATAGCAATCATAGACATTTAATAGCAGCTATTGACTCTCCATAGAAACCAGCGACTTCCATAGGAAGGATTGACGCTTAACCTAGTAACTATTGACTTCGATAAAAATGTTTGACTGTGCATTGCAACCAGTGTATCTACCATTGACTTTCATAGCAACTACCGACTTCCATATCATCTATTGAATTTATATAGCGAACAGTTACTTCTAAACCAACAGTTGATTTTCTTTAGCAAGATTTAATTCCCATAGCAATTTATTACTTTCCATAGCAACCGGTGACTTCCATAGTAACCCTTAACCTTACCTCATAAGAATTGTATTACATAGCATATTTTCATAACAATCATTGACTTAACATAGCAACCAGTGACTTCTATAGCAAGCATTGCCTTTTTACCTAGCAACTAGTGACTTTCATAGCAACCATTTACGTTCCATAGCAAGCAATGAATCTACTATTGACTAATGACTTTCATAGTAACCAATGACTTCCATAGCAACTGTTGAGTTTGGTCAGCAACCAATGACGTAACTGTCATTTATCAATGGAATTGATTTTACTTGGGCAAAAGAATACTTGTAACAAAACTGACATGAAAAGTAATTCAAATATGACTTTGACTTTCCAGGTCAAATATTTAATTTAGCTTAAAAGTCGATTGTTATAACTTTGTTTTTCATTTACAGATTTGATTTATACTTAAACAAAAGAACCCTTATGACAAAACTGATATGTTTTATAATTCCAATATGACCTTGACCTTTAAACGACCTTCAATGTCAAATTATTGAAATTTACTCTACGTGACAATTTCATTATTCAAGGATTTGGTTCTTGGACAAAAGAACACTTATTACAAATATTGCAATGATTTATTCAAATATGACCTGGACCGACGAGGTCAAATATAAAATTTGAATGATATTTTGTTCAATACAGTTACGTTTTTAGAAGTATTCTTTGCTGCAATATTCTTTCTTCAATATGTTACATTAAGACCAAGAAAGAAACAAACTGAGCGCTACAGGTCACGCCTACCGGTGACTTTTATCTATAGATTAGAATAAGACATTGTTCTGCAAAATTTCTCCATTAATAAGATCTGCGTTAATCTTATGTCTTACTTCTCGTTTCAGTGGCCTTGGATCAAAAGCATTGTGATGCAGAATCTCTTGTGACATTATAATTATTAGGATTTTTGTAGTTTATAGATTATTTTGAGCAACAAAAATACCATGTTCCTTTATTGACAAGGTAGCTCTTACATTATCTTTATGATTGACAGATCAATTAAATCCGATAAAGATTGTAAAATATAATATCGAAGACAGCTTTCATGCAAACAACAATTGCTTTATTCAACCAATTCATAAACAGACGACGATTTTGAGGGAAATTGTTGAAAAAATATTGAATTTTACGCCAAGTTTTGTAAGCCGAGTTTCAATGCCATCTGAGTTATACCTCTTTAGCAAAGTTTGGTACTATTTATCTTACAAAAGGTTCTACTCAGATATCAGCTTAGGCCAAATTGTTAAATTCACTTAGCTGACAACAGGAAGTGATTTTACCCAGATGTTAGCTATTATGCTCAGATGGCTGACAGAAGGCCCGAGGTTCTACTCAGATGTCAGCTATTATGCCCATATGGCTTACAGCAGGCCCGAGGTCTATACTGTGATGTCATCGCATGTGGTTCTACTTCGATGTCAGCTTGTGCATTAATGATTAAATTCAGTTGGCTTTCAGAGGTTTGTGGTTCTACTCGGATACCAGCTTATGCTTAAATAATTCAATTCAGCTGGCTATGGGAAGGTGTATTTTTCAATTCAGTTCCTTCACGGAAGACCCGAGGTTCCCCTCTGAACTTGTCAGGTCATGACAGCCTATACCATTCTATTAAGTTTGCTGACTCTACTCTGATATCAGCTCGTGCCTAAATAATTCAATTTGCTTACAGATGGTCCGTAGTTCTTCTTGTATGTTTAAATAATTCATTTCAGCTGGCCGTCGGAAGATGTATGTATTATACAATTCAATTTTCTTACGGAAGGTTTATGGTTCTACTCATATGTCAGGTCGTGGACATATATTGATCCATATAAAGGGCAATTTCAATATATTCTAACCATATTTCTATCACTTAATGGCAACAGTTGTTACAAATGAAGGGGGCTTATATGCCATTGGGCTAGATGTATAACTATTTAATATGTTATATAATTTGATTTATAAATAACTGTTTACACATGCCACTATAATAAATAAATTACTTAGTTACTTACTATAATTAAAACAACCTGTCGTATGGAAGCTTATGATTTGGATTTACTTAGGTTCACCTTAAATGTGCATTAATCGTAAAACACATAAAATATATTATTATACTTTATACATCAAATAATCTACACTGTTACACACTGTTATATTTCGATTTTCTCATTTAGTTTATACTTCTTCTTAACAGCTTGAGTAAATCTACAGTGACAGTGATGATTATGCTTCTACTAGAGTCCAATATGAAGACTTAACATCTGTTCCTAGCTTTACAGAAACATATCCAAAAGAAAATTGTTTAAAAACAGTGCGTCTTCAATAGCTTCTAAAATCTTCTAGTTCCTGAATGAAACGAAAACAGACCAGCAATTTGTAACTTACTTTTGCATCGTAAATTGTACCTTAAATCTGTTTTCTTCAAGAGGAATTTACATCTAAAAATGAAATTCTTACCAAGACCGCTGTGAAATATTTTAGAGTTCCTTCAGAAAATTTTTTGTGAGTTACATAATTATATTTCATTAGAAAACAGAAAATGAAACTTGTAAAAAACGCTTAAAAATAAAGTGGATGGTTTAGAATGGGCACATTTTCCATATTAAAGTATTGATAAAAAAAAGAGATATTGCCTTTTGGTTACTCTTATGAGATATTAATGAAAACAAAAATGTTGATAGATTTCTAAAGAGATTTTAAGTATGAACACAATATATGATGAATTATAATATTTTGTTGCAGAAACCCTTTATTATATGCTATATGTTGATATGTCATTCGGTTTTGAACTATGGTGAATTAGGGTCATAGCGGACTTCTTGTTACTTTAAGAGATGCATGTTGTTGTTTTTTTTTGTGTGTATATAGTTTTCTTAGTATGATTTTGTATATTTAACAAAGATTAATATATTTGTATTATGTATACGTATTCAATATAACACCCGTTCTTTAAAACCACAATCATATCAGTAATTAAACTCTCATACAACAAAGTTGTTGTTAATATGGTAATTATTCAAGAATCATTTTAGTTTTCTCTCATGCCTATTCATATTTAGTTTTGTCCCCCGAGGTTAATTTTTTAAGTGTTGAAGTTAAGAACTTGAAAAGTCATAGATAGATAAATCTCATTAAGAAAACTGCAATGAACTATAAGATACCAAACCCTTTTATAAAACATTTTACATTTAAAGTCCTTTAAAGTTTGCAATGCTTTATTTTGGTTTCGAACCATTGAGGTAAATTACTGTTTGTTTTTTTTATAATTGCTGTGCACATTTTTAGTGTTATTGCCCATTCAGCATTGTAAATTTCCATATTTTAGTAATTGCCGGGACACAACTAGTACACATTTAAATGTATCTACATTGTAGAAATATCTTATTGAGGTATATGCCGTGTGTTAATTTTGTAGTTATTCAACGTTGTATCAGTTTAAACTAAATTTCTGTGTAGAGCATAGTTACCTTTAAAGGCACATTATGCCTCAGAAATCTGTTTTTATTAAATTCTTTAGAAATGTCAAACATGTGTTTAATTCTGTTTTTACAAGGGATTTAGAACAGGTTAGATGTTAAACATCAGAAAAGCTATTTTTCTTAGAAAATTTGAAAACAGTGTGAGTTTGTTAAAATAAACATGCACAAAATCAAGTCTAAAATTTTCCCCATTGCTGTATGGACAAATGGATATCTACTAGACGCCACTTGCAAGCGGCGTCTAATAACAGACTTAGTCATTTTAAATTGTCAAACAATTCACTTTCATCCGTAAACATGTATTCAATATAACAGATGATTAGCAGGAGCTACGATTGACACGTGCGCTGTGTCGTGTACGACGTTAACATACATCGGTCGTACCATTATAAAGCTGCGGTCTCACTTACTCCCGGCAGAGCCCAGGACCATCCTGGTAAGTTACCGGGATGATCCCGGACGATCCGGGTTGAAAGTATTGTTGCTGTCACATTTACCCCGGCAGCACTACGGTAGTTTCCAACTAACCACCCAGTATGCGCTCCGAATCATCCAGGCAGAGCCGAGGTGAAGCTACGGTTCATGCCGGTGCTTCCCCGGTCGTTCCCGGATAACCACGGAAGAGCCCCGGTTGACCCAGGCAGAGCCCCGGTCCATCCAGGCAGAGCCCCAACAGAGCCCAGGACGATCCAGGCAGAGCCCCGGTAGAACCCCGGTGGATTGAAAACGCCCGAAAATGATAACATTGATACATAATTTTTATTTAATATAATATATATTGTTCCAGAATAGTAATTCATGATGATTTTGTAACAAATCCTTATGCCATACTGGATAGAAGGGAAGTGGGAAGGGTTTTTAATACAAACAAGTGCAATCATTGCAAATTGTCGTTATTCTTTTGAAATGATCCGGGCTTTGCCGGGGCTCTACCGGGATCAACCGTAGCTCTACCGTTATCCTCCGGTACTCTGCCTATAGTTAACGGGGCTCTGCCGGCATATCCCGGTCGTTCCCGGCAGAGCTAAGGATGAAGCCGGCAAAGCTATACCTTCCCGGATCATCCCGGACCACCCCGGTGATATTAGATATTTTATTCCATCCGGGGTCGAATGCCGGATGTTCCCGGATCATCCCAAACGTTTCGGCAGAGTTACGGATGTACTCTGGTTGTTCCCGGTCGTACCCCGGTCGTTCCCGGATCACCACGGACGTCTACCGGGGCTCTGCCGGGGTGTAAGTGAGACTGTAGCTTAATATGATTAACTTGGCAGGTTATTTTATTATAAAACTTTACATATTCATTGCAATAAGATATACTAGTATTAAAAGTGGTTATGTGCAGGTAAACCTGAAGAAGCATTGTTGTAAGGCGGCGTTTTATCCGTCCGTTCGTCCGTCCGACCGTCCAGATGTCCGTCCATCTCATTTTCTTATCCGGGACATAACTCTGAAACAACAAGAAGTATCAAAATGAAACTTTGTATGTTTAGGTCAACTTTTATTTAAGAAAAACTGATACATTTTCTTAGATCGAATGTTGAGTTGAATGTCGCTATCTGAAATTTCATTTCAAGTATATATTATTCATATATATTATTGATTTAACACGTGATTTGGCATGATTGTCATTGGAAAATTACTGGATACTCTAAGCGATTCAAAATTTATCTATTTTATAGTTTTACCAGATCTTTACACCCGTTAACAGTTGATCAAAATGAAGTTGATACAAAAACTGATTATTCTTATAACTGTTTTTAAGTTTTGTTTGTACTTGCTGGAATACAAATCGGTTACAAGCGCGTTTCGTCTATACAATCTAACATTTGTCCGCACGTTAATGTTATCAAGAATGTCTCATTTGTCAGCAAAATGGAGTGTCTTAATATTTGTGCTGGAAAAAGTGCTTGTAGTGGAGTCTTTTTTCAGTCAGTCAACCAACATTGTATTCTTTGTTCGGCCAGTTACTTGACACAGGAAAACACGAACCAGTCTGAAAATTATACATTCTATGGTAAGATAATTTTTAATTCATTCAATTCTTTGCGATGTTTTACGCTATATTACTTAACGGTTATTTCAAATTGTAAAATATTGCTCTAAAATAAGGAGTCCCTTTCGAAATCTAACAGCAATAATAATGTGTTAACAACCGTTTGCTTTCATTCACAAATAATAACTGTAAACGGTACTTTAGTGAACTGACCAATTTATGTTATTAACATGTTAATCTGCCATAGCTTTACTCTAGAAAAAAAGACAGATGTGTTGATATCTTGTACAACTTTCTCCGTTAGAACCAACCACTGTTTATCAACATTTCAATATATTTGCAAAGAACCTTTTAATTACGAAATATACTTTGATAGACAGATTTTGCCAAATGTCTAGAGATACATATGTCACTATTGTATCAGAATAATCATCAGAAGCAAGCATACAGTATGTGATCAAACAAATTCATTCAACACAATTAAGTAGGATATAAAGGTTGGGGGAATTGTGTTTTACACAATTTGTGGCAATATTCTCAGAACCCAACCTTTGATAATTTTTCTGGATATGTGTGTATATAATTTTATATATATTTTTTTTCAGAAATGTTTGCTTGCTTTGTATACAATTATTTTGTTATATTATAACTTTCATATCAAAATTGTTTTATATTTTTTCGTCATATATTATTAAATGGCTATTTCACAATTTTATGTTATTCTGATTACTTTCATATCAACATTGTATTATATGTTTTTCCGTCGACGTCATTTATTATTAAATGGCCATTTCAATTTCAAAGTGTAGTTGTTATTCTTGAAAATTATCAAACAGAGAAAACTTCTTCAGGCAAAAGATACAACAAATTGAAATGTTGACATAAAACTTAATTTATTGCAAAATAAATGTTTTTATGGTCACTTACAAGCTTGATGGTGGGTTTCATTAGGTCTTTAGTCATAGGTCGAAATATATTGGGTTCGAAAAAGCCGTACTAGCAAGTACACTAAGGTTATCGTTATGAGTAAGTACAATGTGATAATTGATGCTGTTTAAGTCCGCCATTTTAGAAGAAGAAATAATTCATAACAATTTTCAATAACCCACCATCCCACCCACATTCAGTATTCAATTTTTGACAAGCTTATAAACATCAAAAGGTTTTGTGTTTGTTTATAATTTTATATACAAATGATTTTTCTTTTCACTTCAAGATATGTGTGTATATTAATTTCATACACAGTTTTAGGCAAGGCAATATTCTTAGAACCCAACCTTTGATAATTTTCGGGATATGTGTGTATATAATTTTATATACATTTTTCAGAAATGTTTGCTTGCTTTGTATACAATTTATGTTATATTATAAACTTTCATATCAGCATTGTTTTATATGTTTTATATGTCATTTATTATTAAATGGCCATTTCACAATTTTATGTTAGTTTGATAACTTTCATATCAACATTGTATTATATGTTTTTCCGTCATTTATTATTAAATGGCCATTTCAATTTCAAAGTGTAGTTGTTATTCTTGAAAATTATCAAACAGAGAAAACTTCTTCAGGCAAAGATACAACAAATTGAAATGTTGACATAAATAATGTAAATGTTATATAACGTGCGGGGAAATCACGTATATACGAGTATGTATCATTTATATTATATGGATATTGCTATTCATAAAAATATGATGCAATACCTGATCATTAATCTGAAATTCTTCTTTTTTAAAATCACTCAAGTTAAAATAGAATAAAGGACCTATGTGGTATATATTTATGTACATACTGATTGTTTGCTATAGACATTGTATTATGTTTCATGCAATAGAATTGGAAATTGGAAAACATATATACAGTGTTCTCTAAATACATTATGTTTTTGTTTATTTAATACGAATTTCTGTAAGCTTAATTATGTTTAATTTGTATTAAACTTATTAACTAATTATGTAACAGTGTATTGGCTTGTGAAACAGTTATTGACAAGGAGCAATGCGCAGGTATTTTGATTTTATTTATTTATATTTAATTTATTTTTGGGGACAGGGAGGGGGAAGATATTTAATTTTCCACTGGAAAGCTCCAAATGATATATTATTACATTTTACTGTTAATATTTAATTTAAGATAGATCTATTAGGTAGAAGAAAGTGATACATGGTGCGCAATGCGATATTATCTGATAAAAATCTATCATTGATAAGAAGAAAGATAGAAAAATAAAGATTTGATACTAAAGTTATCATCAGTATTGCATTTTATTTGAAAAGTAAATCACGCAGATACTTTTATGCTAAATACAGTAAAATTGTATTTTGATAATTCAACTGTGAAATTATCAGAATATAAGTGTACTGTTTGTCTATGTATGATAATGTGAGAGTGACGGTTCATTTTAGGGTTAAGCAGTACTTATGTTATCATCGTATCGATTTATTCAGGGAATATACATAAACACAAACAATATAGTCACATATTGCATATATAACACACACAAACACGCAAATTTGCAACAAAAATAATTGTAAAACTTATCAGTATGTTTTATGTTACCCTAGGATTGCTCATTAAGCTAAAAGCTTATTTCCAATGGGATCCATTTACTGTTATATTATCACACTAACTTATATAATAATAATAAAAGTCAGTTAACTGCGTCTAAATAAATCGATGTTAATGATAATACCTGTTTGGATCATAATATCTACCCCAAGGGAACCTGCCTATTTAGCGGAAACGGCTAATCGGAACACATCAGTTATTATGTACAATAACCTCGGACTTATTATGTAAAATAGACCTCGGATTTCATATAGACAGAATGTAGTACTACCACGCTGTTTAAGATGTAAAAAAGCAAATGGTGTGATGATTTAGATGGACTTTTGCTCGGTATAATAATTTTAGTCAGCCACGCCTTTCTAGATTATTATTTATTTACAAGTTTAGTTTATTAGGGTAGGTTAGAGCGGAATATTGTATCCGTAAGAGTGTATATTTACTATTGTGCTCGAGGGTCCTATCCAAAGTTTGACGG